CAGGATGCCCTTGAGGGGGCCTTCTGATGCCTGCTTCACCACCTTCTTGATATTATCGTATTTGGTAGTCTTCTCCAGACGGCAGGTGAGATCCACGACTGACACATTGGCAGTGGGGACACGGAAGGCCATGCCAGTAAGCTTTCCATTCAGCTCAGGGATGACTTTGGTCAGAGCCTCAAGCTGTCACCCTGGTTAGTGTGCTGTGGCATCACAGCTCACAGCAACCTCCAACTCCTGGGTTCAAGTGATTCTCTTGCCTCCACCTCCCAAATAGTTGGGACTACAGGCGCTCACCAGAATGCCTCGCTATTTTTTGGTTGCAGCCGTCACTGTTGTTTGGCAGGCCCAGGCTGAATTTGAACCCGCCAGCTCAGGTGTATGTGGCTGGTCCCTTAGCTACTTGAGCTACAGGCGCTGAGCCAGGTTATAGGTTATTATAATAATGGTAGTTAAGACTCTTTTGTATTCAAAAATACAGTGTGATACAAAGCTGTAAACTTAATGAAATAACAAATTGATCCTTTAGACCGACTTTTTACATTTTAATGGTAAATGTTAGTTCACACAAGGGCTCTTTATCATTTCTACAGTATTTGAATTTTTAAGGTAGAATTTGGTTTGTTCTCTGGAAAAGTAGGAGTAGGTATTTTTACTTAATTTTTTTTCAAGACAGGGTCTTGTTCTGTTGCATGGATTAGAGTACTGTGGTGTCGTCATAGCTCACAGCATCCTTAAACTCCTAGGTTACAGCCATCCTCTTGCCTCTGCCTCCAGCAAACCTGGGACTACAGGAACACACCACCACACCCAGCTAATTAAAAAATATTTTTTTAATACAGACAGGATCTTGCTATATTGCTCATGATGATCTTGAACTCTTGGCCTCATGTAATTCTCTTGCCTCAGCCTCCAAAAGTGCTGGGATTACAGGCATGAGCTACTATGCCCTGACTATACCTATTTTTTAAAAGAACTGCTAAGATCCTTTCTTCCAACTACCCTTTGTTCCAACACAAGTATTTTAGAAATACTGAGAATTGGGCAATGCCTGTGGCTCAAAGGAGTAGTGCGCCAGCCCCATATGCCAGAGGTGGCAGGTTCAAACCCAGCCCTGGCCAAAAACTGCAAAA